GGAAACAATTGAAGAAAAAATTCAAGTCTCGGGTTGTGATATTGAAAGATTCTTTGGGCAAAATATTGAATGATGCAGAAAGCAGCAGTCAAGAGATCAAAAGACAAGCTATATTAGGTAAATCTTCAGCACAACACCTCTTCAGAGTATTGAAAAGTAAGGATATTACCTTGAGGACTAAGTTACACCTGACCCAAACCAAGGTATTTTTCAATCACCTCATGTGAATGTGAAAGTTGGGCACTGATTAGAGAAGAATGAATAAGAATTGATGCATTTGATTGTACTGCTGGAGAAGAATAATGAAAGTACCATGGACTTCTAAAAGGACAAATAAGATCTGTCTTGGGAAAAGTACTGCCAGAGTGCTCGTAAGAGGGTAGGATTATGAGAAGTCATCTTACATACTTTGGACATGATGTCAGGAGAGACCACTCTATAGAGGGACACCATGCTTAGCAGGATAGAGGGCTAGCAAAAAAGAGGAAGGCCTCTCAACAAGATGGAATGATGGTGGCTCCAACAATGGGCTTTGTGAAAAAGAGTGAGGATGGCACAGGACCATGCCGTGTTTTGTTCTGTTGTATACAAGGTCACGATGGGTCACAATCGACTCAATGGCACCTAACAACAACAGCAAAATCATAGAAGCCTTCATTAAATACCATAAATAAAAATATCAATATGTGAATCCTGGTGGCCTAGTGGATGTATGCATTGGGCTTCAACTACGAGGTCAGCAGTGGGAGAACACGAGGCCTTCTGAGAGAGAAAGATGAGGCTTTCTATTCCCATAATGAGTTCTCATGTCAGAATCCCAAAGGGACAATTCAACCCTGGTCCTATGGGGTCTCTGAGTCCAGAATGTACTTGATAGCAGTTTTCCTCCCTCACCCCCCACCACAGGTAATCAAAACGTGAAGCTATTATTTCATGACATCTTCCATTATAGGTCTATATAGTTCTGAAAGCAATGTTTCCATTTCTGTAATCCTTCCCCTGAAGAATTCTGACCTCTTCAATTTGCACCACTTCAAGATGGCACTTTTGGCACCCTCAAAGGCCTCCTTAGCTGATTATATGAGACACAAGTGTCCTGAAAAAAATCCTTTACTCAATAATTACCTGTTCACACACTCCAAAAGAATAACGATCCATTTCTCTCTAAAAACTGCAATTTGAACTATGTGTTATTCTTCACATTTTCTTTCACTTAGGTTGTCTATTAAAATAAAAATCAAGGTTTGTCTTTTGTAAATTAACATAAATCATACTTAAGAAATTACTAACTTAGAAGATTGTTAAATTTTCAAACTAAAATTTAAAGACACTACTAAAACATTTATTTGAAGAGGACGCTAAATCTAAATTCAGCCCCCAAATTCTGACTAGATAACCAAAGCAGAATCTCCTAAAAATACCAAATATAGAAATGGTCCTGATATATAAGGGAAAAAGTCACTCTTCCTTTTGACATTATTTTTCCTTTTTGACTACCTTCCCTTAATAATTTGAAAATGTCAATTTTAAATATATAAAACATCCAGGAATATAGTTTAGCAACAAATCACTTTTTAACTATAAAATTGGCATGTGCAATCAAGAAACACTTATATTTCTTCATGAACCAAACCATCTTCTACTCTAAGACCAGAAGAACTAGATGGTGTCTACCATTATGAATGTCCTGGCCAGGGTAATCAAAGTTGGATTCTGTTAAAAAGGGGTAAGAGGAATGTGGAACAGAACTTCAAATTGTCAAAACCTCAAGACTTACCAAACCCATTAAAAGACTGGAAGAATCCAAAAGATTACTGCCCTGAGATATTCTTTAGACCTTGAACTAAGACTATTCTTTGAAGTAACTTTTTAAAGAAATAAGGTTAGCTGAAAAAGTAAAACTCAAGAAGTACTTTGTTCTTTTAAAAAATTATTTATATGAGTCAACAGTTACTCAAAAGTATGAGTAAGATGCTGGAAGAACAGAACAAGAATGGAAATAAGAATGATGACATGTAGAAAATGTAACCCATGTCACTGAAAAACATGTCTAAACATTGTTAAACAGAAAACTTTTGCTGTATACACTTCTACCAAAAATACATTTAAAAAACTAAAATCCACACTTGGAATGAGCCCTCTCCTCATTACTGTTGAAGCTCAAAAAACCACTACCATAAAAAATAGGATTTAGGGCACAACATAATCATCAAATGAAATCAATGGTTACATTTTAAAAACAAGACATACTGGCAAGAGAGGCAGGAACCAGCTAGCATCACAGTAAAAAACTCAGGAAGTAGAAAAAAACACCAGAGTGATATTAAATCTCTTTCTTCACAATATCAAATATTCATTTAATACATCTAATTATGCCTCAAATGCCTCAAAGAAAATGCACTCTTTTAAAGTATGAAATTTAGGAAGAGAATAGTCATAAATACTTCTTAATGATGCTTTTGTCTTTCATGAGTAATAGTGACACATTTCCAGATTGGTGAGCCTATAGCTATATGTACACATACATGACCCATCTGAAATGCTTCTGATTTTACCAACTCTCCCATTTCACATGAAAGTATCATCATAGAGACTTCAGCAAAGATGCATACATTCGCTTATGAATTATTTTAAAAGGAAGATTCTGTAATTTTCAAACAAAATTTTATTTCTAACAAGAACTAGTCATTACAAAAACAAATTAATGAAGCAGGGTTATATACTCTAAAGTAAATCAAAACCAACTTCTCCCTCAAGTAAGTAATGTTTTAAAACTTAAAGGTAGAAAGATTATACGGGAGACAAATTTCAACAAAATGAACCATGAATTCATAAAGTTGATATAAAAATTATATTTAATACACGCCACTAGGGTTAAGAATGCAAAACAAGTCAGTTAATAAATCATCTACGATATTTCCTAATTTTATATACTTAGTATAATTTAAAGTATTTTAAAACTTACCCAAATGAAGCAATGTAAACTGGGCTGCCAGTTCTTTTGCATCTTCTAACGTAGTACACAGTTTGTCTGGCATGAAGTAACTCTGGGACCCATTTGCAATCGTGGGAATAACTATTTTATATACCAAGAGTACTTTCCCATCTTGACTTGTTGTTGAATATAAGTAATATTCTGGTGGTGCCCAATTATTCTTGTTGCAATAATAATCCAAATGCATTACTGCAGAATTGAAATGATTGGATTTTAAAGAATACATGCTAATTGGAGTAAGCTTTGTGCCAGGAAAAAACGGATAAGTGCATCTTTCAACTTCAGGAGGGCTTGGGCTATGCTGGCCGTTGACACGACCTGGAAGAGTTGGTGGCTTGCCTAGAGTTTTGGAATGGCTATCTTCTTTGCTAGCAAATACAAGCAGGTTTTCAGAATTAGGACTAATCTGACCATTCAGGTGTTGTCTCCAAGTGTTTTCTTTATTTACTGGTTTTGCCAGAGTGACCTCAATACTTGCTCCATCGATGCATTTTCCATTCATAACAGACATAGCAGCTACTGCATCTTCTCGGTTGAAAAAGTGAACAAAAGCATAATCTCTAAGTTTTTTTACTCGTTCAACTGCACCAGGCTTGAATTTATTGAATTCTGCTTTAATTGTTTCCTCTGTAGTTGAGATCATTAAATTTCTTACATAGAGAACTTTAACTCTTTGCATAGTTTCCTCATCAACTTCTTTTTCTGGGTCAGCCCAATCTACCTGAATAGTATGACCCCAGAGTTGGAATGTTCCTGTTAAAAAATAGAAATAAATTAATTTAGTTTTATTTGAAAACATCTAAAACAAAAAAATGGAAATTGTAAAGTATTTATGAAAATTGTTTCTCAAAAAAGGAGAAATTTAATATACCTAAGAATTACTTTTCTAGTCACATAAAAAAACTTTTATTTTTATATTGAAGCAAAACTAGTCAGCACTCGCATCAGATTTAATTTCAAGAGTCATAAAACAATTATTTCAAAGACAGACCTTTTTTAGAAGAATTAGATATAAATCTTTGGGTTTTTATCAAACAACAATAAACAACATATTAGTATGTTATGTATTCAGTAAATCAGCAAAATATTATTTTATTGCATAGAAACTTCTTGTCTTTTACAATCTTTTGATTAAATTTACTTTCTTACTCAATTCTTCATTCCTCCTTACATAGTATTATAAAGATAATAATATCTGTGAGGTACAGCCATTTTGAAAATTTATAATAAAGTCAATATGAAAAATCTTCAGAAGTGTCCATTTACCTGGAATTAGCTTTCTTCTAGCCATAGCAGCAGCTCTGTGAGATTCATACTCAACAAATGCAAAACCACGATTTTTTGTCTTATCAGTTGCACTTGGATAAACAATGACATCTACAACTCCTTCTGTAACTTTCTTCATCTCATCCAAAATTTCTTCTTTCTTTTTTTCCTTGGGAATAGCTCCTATAAATAATCTGCAGTTATCCAAGCTCACACATACTCCAATAAACTTCCCTGGTCTAATCTCATAATTATTAAGAATCCTGATAGCTAGCTGGGCTTCTTCTTTTGTGGTGTACATCACAAAAGCATAACCACGATTTTCACCACTAAATTCCATCATAAGTCGAAACTCATATATCTTCCCAGCTCTTTCAAACACAGGCACTAACTCGTCTTCATACATGTCACGAGGTATTTTTCCTACAAAAACTTCACAACCTCTAGGTGGAGGTGGACCTTCCCAACCTGAGAGACAAAAATAAATAGATATGTAAGTTCCAGTAAAATATTTATGTACAATATTCAAACATTCATTCCACAACTTTTCTGAGTTTCTTTGTACCATGTACTAGTCTAGATATGGGGTATACAAAAGTGAACAAAAGAAAGGTTCATCTCTCATAAAGCAAAAATTCAATCAGCACACCAAAACTAAAAGTAAACCACTGCCATCAAGTCAACTCTGACCCATAGAAACCCACTCTATATAGAATTTCTGTGGCTGTAAACCTTTATAGAAGCAGAGAGCCTCCTCTTTCTCTCACTGGCAGTTTCAACCATCAACCTTGTGGTTAGCAGTCCAATGTCATCAGGGTCCCTTTTCTTTTAACCAAAGAGCACAATAAATGAGTAATACTTGAGATTGAAATGAAGAAAAAAGGAAGCTGCATAAAGGGGGTTATTTCTACAGGGGTGGTTCGGTAAAGTTTCTCAGAGTTCATGAGATTTGAGCAGAGACCTGAATGAAAGAAACAACCATAGTGATCCTTCAGCAAAGAACATTCAAGAGGAAGAAAAAGCAAGTGCTTAAAATGTTAGTGCAACAAGCTAAAAGTATAAAGGCTATGTGGCCTTCTTTCAACTAAGGGAGGCACAAAGTGGTAGAGGGTGACACCTCTGAAAAATCTAGAGGCTAGGATTTTAAGTGTGACAGAAAGTTAAAGGGTTTTGAGCAAATGGTTATGGGGGTATTGGGAGAAAGAACAACATATATATATATATGTATATATTTTAACAACAGATGTGCACACTGGTTTTTCAGATAATCATCCCTCCTTTACCCTGCTCTTTCAGAATGCTCCCAAGTAACCTCTGCTTGATATAATAGCTTGGATAGAATTTTTTTTTTTTTGAGAGTGGGGATAGAATTTTTTCTTTTGCCCATATCTTAATTGGATTTAGAAACCCAACTTCCCTCAAGAGTTGAGTTGCTAAATTCTATTATCAGGATTAGCTAAGAGAGGGAAATAAAAAAAATTAAGGGTAAGACATGTATAACATAGTCTACCACTGTGCTCTCATTAAAAAAATAACAGCTGCTGAGGTCTTAAAGACGTTAATAAAATGAAAGACATCTAATCTAAAGAATTACATTAAAATCTTATGAAAATAACTAATTCCACACCTGGAGGAGGACCACCAAATTTTCTTTGTCCATTTTCTTGAACCATGTTGTAACCAGTCTTTTCCATCAAAGCAAGTAATGCAGCTTCATTCTGAGTACCGGTTCTAACTTTACTGCATCCATTTGTTCCATCTATATTGTCTTCATTCATGGTTGCGGTTCCTAAGAAGAAGTTTGAAACAGAGCTTAATCTTATGACATGAAGCACCATGAATCTATGAGGCATTTGTTTGGGTTGCAAGAAGCCCACAACAATCGTGGCTGTATGTGTGGTGATTACTCTTCATTGTCCTTTTCATGGTCTGCCCACAACACTCCTTCCTATAAAACAAGCCGGAAACTTGGTGTCACTAACTGATTAGGCACTAGCGTTGGAGGACCTAAGCTAACGAAGGTGACTAAAATGAAAAAGAAATAAACTAAGACAGAGTGGAAAATAAAATGGTGAAAGGGAGTTCAAAACAAAGAAAGCAGGAAAGTGAAAACCACAATCATTGTCATTGACTTGATGCCAACTCATCGTGACCCTTATAGGACAGAGTAGAACTGCCCGTGAAGGAGTACACTACCATCAATAACAATATTTGTATGAATGATCAGTGTCATCTATACACTTGATGCTTTTAATTGCATCATAATACAAACAAGCTGGATTTTTCTGCGAGTTAAAAGTTGATGTCAGCAACCCTGGAGAGTTCCAGCAAAACAAAAAACCAATTCAGTGTCGTGGAGTTGATTTCCATTCATAATGATCCTATGGGGTCTCTGGGGTTCCATGTCACTAAATCTTGACAAGAATAAAGACCTCATCTTTCAGCTGTGGTTTGGAATTACTGACCTTGCAGTAAGCAGCCCAATATGTAACCAGAGCTCATTACCATTTTCTCTTCTTGAGGAAAAGAAAATGAAGCTTCAAATCAGCCTCTATATATCTACAAAAACAAACTACTAGAGACAAGAATTGCAGCACTTCAGATCTCAATACAGACAGAAGTTACAGGTACTATAACTTCCAATTAGCATCAACTTAAGAAACTTAAGTAGGCAGGAAAAAAAATCAGAAGAGGCAAATAAAGAAATGAAATTGGTGACATTATTACAGATCCAAGAGAGTTATATAACTCCTGTGAAAAATTGTACTGCTACAACAAATTTAAAAACCTAGAAAAAATGGTCAAATTCTTATCAGGGAAAACTAACACAAACAGATGTAAAATTTTAAACCGACCAAATACCAAAGTAGAGATGGAAGATGTTATTCAAAAACTGCCAACAAAGACTGGTGGAATCTCCAAGACTATGGCCCTTAATCAACCTTCAGATCTGGAACTGAACGCACCCCAGGTGTTAGAATCATTTAAGATAAAATGGTCAGCCCTTACCTAAGGACAAAGTTCAGAAGGATAGGAAAGAAGGAATGGAAACAGCAAACAAATGTAGCAAGTAGGATTTGTTGAAACAAAATGTGTATGATTTAATATAAAATTGATGCTCTGCAGACCTTCACCTAGTTCCATATATATATATATATATACAGTAGTGCCAACAACAAAAAGGCCAGAACCAACAGGTTACGCCTGGACAATTCTACCAAATATTCAGAGAAGAGTTGACACCAAACCAACTCAATCTGTTCAAAACATATTAGAGAAAGGATTGCTATTGAACTTTTCTATGAAGCCAGCATAAACTAGAGACTTAAACAGGCAAAACCTACCCACTGCCATTGACTCATAGCAATCCTGTACAGGATTTTCAGAAGCTGTGGATCTTTACAAGAGCAAATAGTCTTACCTTTCACCCATGGAGTGACTGGTAGGTTTGAACCACTGACTTTAGGTTAGCAGTAGTCCAATTTTTACCAAACAGCACAAACTAAATAAAACCTCAATGCCATCAAGTCAATGCTGATTCAGAGAACCCCGTGGGTTTCTGAGACTACAACTGTTCACATGAGTAGAAAGCCCAGTCTTTCTCCCACGGAGCTGCTGCTGGTTTCAAATGACAGACCAGAGGATCATAGTCTAATGCATAACCACTACATCAAAGATATCACAAAAAAGAAAGAAAAGGAAAGTCACAGACCAAAATCACTTGTGAAATAGACACAAACACTTTCAACACAATTCTAGCCAACAGACTTTAGAAATATAAGTCATACCGGGATTACATGGGTGGTTCAACATTGAAAAGGCAATCAACGTAATCCACGACTTAAGTAAAACAAAGAAACAAAACCACATGATCAAGTCAACTGCTACAGAAAAAGAATTAAATAAAATTCAACACCCTTTCCTGACAAAAACTATGAGCAAAATAGGGACAGAAGTGAAAGATCTCAGCTTAATAAAGAGCATATATACAAAACCAATAGTTAACATTATGCTTAGATGTATGAAATAAAATTATTTGGCCTATTGCCCTTTTCAGAAAAAGATTACTAGCGCCCCCCCTGGTCATTAAAATTTTCTGTACTCTGTCCCATAATCTTGATAACGATTACTCCACACTCCCCCATGTTCTACTATCTACCCATTGATAAAATACCAAGGATTGAACCTAACCTGGGATATGAGAATATTTATACAACAATTATAAAAGCACTACCATAAGGCATCAACAAATGATGGAAAGACATTCTGTACTTATTGACAGGACAATATACTACAGTAAACATGTCAATTTTACCTAAAGTGATTTACAATGCAATCTTGATACGAATCCTAACATTCTTTACTGAAATGGAAAAAATTATTGACTAGCTTCATATGGAAAGGAAAGAAATACCAAATAGTCAAAGCAATATTAAAGAAACAAAAGCAATACAGGAAGCCACACATTTTCCAATATCAAAATATACTTCCGTTACTGTAGCTGAAACAACCTGATATTGGAGCTGGTATACAGACCAATGCAATAAAATGAGAGCCCCAAATTAAATCAAGCCATTGGTTTTCAACAAGGGGTTAAAGTTCATTCAGTGGACCAGGAATAGTCTATTTAATGGTAATGCCAAAACTGGGTATCCACTACAGTAAAATGAAACAAGATTCTATCCCACATTATATACATAAACTCAAAATTAATCAAAAATGTAAATGTTACATCTAAACTATAAAATTCTGGAAGACAACATGGAAAGCCAACTACGGTACCTAATCTTGTATAAAAATAGGACAAGGATAACAACAAATACACCAATATGACAAAATAAATTAAAAATAAATAAATAATTAAAGTGATAAAAACGATTTTTTAAAAAGTGCTCGACACAATAGATGGATGTATGGGTTGTGATAAGAGTTGTACGAGCCCCCAATAAAATGATTTTAAAATATATATAATAAAAGTAATATTCAGGGAAATAAAAAAAGAACAAGAGCTGAAAAGAAGATCAGTAAATCAATGTCATTTATAATAGTCACCCCAAAGATGAAAATGCTTAGAAATAAACCTAATCTGAGAAACAGAAGACTTGTACAAAGAAACCTACAAAACACAGCAATGAGAAACTAAAAGAGACCTACCTAAATAGAAGAATGTTCCATGTTCATAGATAGGAAGACTTAACATTGAGAAAAGTCAATACTGCCCAAAGCAATCTAGAAATATAATGTAATTACGATCCAGATTCCACCATCATTCTTCAAATACATGGGGAAAAGTAATCACCAACTTTATATGGAAAGGAAAAAAACCCTGAATAAGCAAACTATATACATTGGACAACAGACTAATCTTCAAAATCTATAGAAAAGAGATTGGAACTCTCATCTACTACTAGTGGGACTATAAAACTACTACCACTGTAGACAGCACTGGGGTGCTTCCTCAAGCAAATGGAAATGGAAAGAACCTAGGATCCAAAAAGCTCTCTACTTAGTATATACCCTAAAGAAATACGGAGCAAAGAGCAAGCAGATATATGTACACTCAAGTTTATCACAGTACGATTCTCAATGACAAGATGATTGATATAACCTAAATATCTGTTGACTAATGAATGAATATAAAAATTTTGGTACACACATATAATAAAATACTACATATTGCTAAAGAATAATGGTGGAAATACTTCATGACATGGATGGGTTTGGAAGATATGCTGCATGGATATCAATCACAGAAATACAAATGTATGAGACCATCGTTATAAAAGAAACAATTAAAAAGAAGTTTCTAAGCCTGCTTCAAGAATGGTTACGGGGGCAAGGGTGCATGCATTCCTGTGTAAGGGAGGGAGGTGGAAGCAAAAGTTTCAGAAATATATAATGAGACTTCTTAACAATGTATGCTTATCAAAATGCTTTAGAAAATAAACAACCTGCAGACTAGAAATATCTAAAATCTATAAAAAACTACAACTCAACACAAAGACAATATAATCCTAGAATGGACAAAAGACGTGAGCAGAGATTATCCTTGCCAAGGAGGATAATCCAAGCAGCCAACAAATGTGAAAAATGTGTTCACGATCATTAGCCATTCTAAATTAATGAAAGAAAAACTCATTGCCATCAAGTCAACTCTGACTCATAGTGACTATAATGCATAGCAGACCTGTCTCTATGGGTTGCCAAGGCTGGAAATCTTTAAAGAAACAGAATACCTCATATTTCTCCCTGAGAAGTGATGCTGGATTTGAACCATGAACCCAGTGGCTAGTAGCCCAATGAGAAATACATTATACCACCAGGGCTTTAGAACTTATTAATACATATGTATATCTACAGAAGAAAGATATGTCAAAACTACTATGAGATACCATCCCCCTTCATGGCTAAAATGACACTAATAAAAAACAAACAGCAACAGTGTAGGCAAGAATATGGGGGAACTGGTACCCCTATTCATTGCTGGTAGGAACACAGAATAGTACAACCACTATGGAAAATGATACGGCACTGTCTCAGAAAACTAGAACCTCCCTATGACTCAATAATTCCATTCTTAAGTATACACCCTAAACAATCCACTACCATCTAGTCAATTCTGACTCAACAGTAATTCTTATCAAGGTTTCCAAAGATGTAAATCTTTAAAAGAGTAGATAGCTTGACCCTTTTCCCTTGGAGCAGCTGGTAGGTTTAAACCCCCAACGTTACAGAGTTCAATAGTTCAATAGTTGCCTGACAAGGTCACCAAACATAC